TGGGCTATGATGCTCGCCAGCTCCTTGAGTACCCTGGGGGGAAGATTGTCAGGGCCGGCTGACTTGAAGGTATCCAGCTTCTCAAGATGTTCCTTCACGAAGTCAGCATCAATGGAGGGCAGGGGATCACCCTCACCCGGACTTCCCGGCCCTGTAGCGGGCATGGGCGTCCCATGGGACTGATGAAAGAAGAAGTTGCATATGTAGGTCTGATTTGGGTGAGTCCTGGCATCGGTCTGGAGATAGGGGACTGGATGTGGTGTCCCGGGAGGTCCCTCCAGTCCCATGTACGTTCCCAATAGTACAACTCCAGTTCCAGTCCAGACCTCATCTCCTCACTCACCAGCAGGTCCCTTCCACAGGCCCTGCGCTGGGTCTGGGTACTGGGAGTGCTCACCAGCTTCAGGCTCTCCCAGGGGAGACAGAGAAACACCTCGGTCCTGAGTCCCTGTCAGGCACACGGGTGCATGACACATTAAGTGCTTCCACATTGCACAGAGGCAGCTCCCAGGTGCACAGTCACAAACCACGGTGCCTCTGGGATTCGGGTGCCTCCAGCAGCTGAGTGCAGGTTTTCTGGGTGATGGCTTTGGTCTCAGGGACTTTATTCACCCCCTAAGTCAATTTTTAGATCTGCCTCTCTGTTCCTCAAGGCATCAGGGTCCCGTGACCAACCTCTTGGTCAAAAGCTTGCTGAGCCAGGCATCCCTGCTGGGCTGCGAGAGAGAGGAAAACTCAGGCTTGCCAGGGTGACGAGTGAAAAGGGCAGTACGGAGACCATGCCCCAGCTGGGGCTTGACAGCCGTGTAAGGAGGTGCAGCCTTCAGGGGACTGAAACCCCAGCTGCAGGTAGGCAGTGGGTCATAGGCTGCCTGGCCAGAAGGCTGGGAGCCAGCTGCAGCAGATCATTAATGAATGAAGGTCGAGCCCCAAAGAGGGTTGAAAGCTCCAGGGGCAGAGAGGAGAGGCTGTGGTTTGGGTTTGTCTGTTAATTCATTGTTGGCACACTTGCTCGTTCTGTTTTTTGTTTGGCCTCTGTCAGACAAGTTTGCCCTATGCAAATAAACTGGCTGGAAAACCCAGAGCTGACTGGCCTTGAGAGGGGAGCTGGGCGAGTGACCTGCTTACAGATCAGGAAATGTAGCGTTTCCTAAAGAAATGCTAAATGATCTTTCTCTTTTGAGTGGTCTTTCTCCATGAGGCTGATGCTTATGATACTGAGACCTGTTTCCAGCCAGAAAACCCCCAGCCCCTGAAAAAATCAACTTAAGAAAACCTTTAAGAAAAAGCAAATCGGTAACAAAAAGAAGATTTGACATTGGAAAGAGAAACCTCATGGAATCCGCTAAGGACCTCGTTATTGCTGCTGGTTTCGCATGAAAGGCACTTGGATGTTATAAACCCCTGGCTAACAAGATGGAAGGTCAACTTCTGAAAAGTCTTGTGGTCAGTAAAAACCAACTGACCACAAGGCTTTGGTCAGTAAACCAAAGTGTTGGTTTGGTTCACTGGTTAAGCAGGTTTGGACCTGATCTGTGCTTGGATGAGAGACCAGCTGAAAATATGTGCCACTCTGCTCTCATCTCTGAGCCATCCTCATCTGATTGGCATTTTCAGATGTCCTGTGCACACCTGAATAAGTTTTCTGGACATGGACCGCTGGCTTTTTCTTCAAGGAAAGGACCTCTCTTGCCTGTGACTAATGGGCAGCAATGCTCTGCACGGACACTTCTGCAGGTTGAACTCTACCCTTGTTTTCTTGCCTGGCTCCTAACATGCCAGCACATCCCCCATCTTCCCTGCCCAGCTACCCCGATCTCTGCACAGGAGCTGCCAGAGGGTCTGAAGGAAGGATGGCTCTGATACTACAAGCAGCATCCACCTCTTCCAGAGCCTCGCATGCAGACCCAGCTGGATTCTTTCCTCTCTGTCTGTCAGCAGGACAGGAAGAGATGCTGGTTCACAGAGTTCTTGTATGCAGACAGTCACATATTTTAAAGAGAGAGAGGAAGTAACATGAAAGGAAAATCGAATCAGAAAGGGAAAAATGCCTGGCACGGCTCCCCACAGCGATTTCTCAAGAAATAGCCTGGCTCTCCATGGCCCAGGCAACACCAAGATGAGCAGCAGCAGCTCGTCCAACACCACTTTCCCTCACCATCACTCAACTTGGGAACTGGCACAACTCCACACTTCCTTCAGCAGCAGAGGAGGAAATGCTCCCCTTCATCTTTGAAGGGCCTCTGTCTGCCAAGAGGCGGATGGTGCTACCTCCTTCTCCAGGTCGGTATTTTCCAGGTGATGGTTTCCCACTAGCGTTTGTTAAACCCAAACAAGCCATTCCCATTGCAAAAGGAGGTCAACTCTTGCATGGAGCACAATGGGAAGGAAGCAAAGGGGAATTTTAGAGGATTATTTGGCAATCACAATGCACCAAAACTTGGGTGAGACATAATTAGACTTAGCACATCTGATTAGAAGTTGGGGAAACGAGAAAAGTTTGGAAGACCTGGGAAAATGGGAGTTGGGAGAAGAGGAGAATGGCGGGGAATTTTGATCATAGTCTTCAAATACACAAAAGGTGGCCATAAGGAGGATGTGATAGTGTGTCTGCATGAAACGGGACAAGAAGTAACACTTGTCTTGCAGCCTTAAACTGCAGCAAGGAAAATGCAGGTTGGAGCTGAGGAAGAACTTTTTTTCAATTTGAGGATGGTTCACCCCTGGAAGAGACTATCCAGAGAGGTCATGGTGTCTCCATCGCTGGAAGTTTTTAAGAGCAGTTTGGGCAAACACTTGTCTAGAATCACTTCAACAAGGATAATCCTGCCTTGAGCAGAGGGGTGTAGTAGATGTGACCTCCTGAGGGCCCTTTTGTAAGTCTGTGTGGCCCACTCCAAAGCTCATGGGAAGCCATCTCCTGATGTTTTTGGACATTAGATAATTCCCTCATGATTTTCTTCAGGATACCCCAACCTGTTTCTGTGAAGCTGGTTGGAACCATCCTCTTCATCACAAACTGGGGCAGGACCCAGCATAGGATCACAGAAAATGAGGGGTGAAGGGCCCTCAGGAGGTCACATCTAGTGCACCCCCCCCTGAGCACAGCAGGACCAGCCCTAACTAGATCATCCTAGCCAAGGCTTTGTCTACCTGTGTCTTAACAACCACTAAGGATGGAGCTTCCCAGTGTCAGAGTGGGAAGTCACAGCCAGAGCAGGACGAACCCTCGTATTTCTCACCCTGTCATACGGTGGCCAACACTGAGTGACTCTCACCGCTGGACTTCACAGCAGCTCCTCTCCTGTTGGGTTTGTGCACCTTACCCCAGTGCCAGGGCAGTGTGCCACATAACTGGCTTTTCCATCTGGCTAATTAAAGCAACAGGATGTCCAACCAGTCGGACCTGGGATGGCTCCCAGCACTGGGCAGCCATTCAAGCAACCAGACACAAGGCATGCTCTACAAGACCTCGCTGACATCTCTGGACTTGAATAATGTTGAGTGGGGACATGACTGCCTCAAAGGAGAATGTGAAGCAGCTGGACTTTCCTCTGTCCCATAGCGGCTGCTAATAAGAGGCTTAAAAAGGAAAGCTGCAGGTGAGGTGCTCGTGTGCTTGCTGGTGTCCACACAGGCTCAAGAAGCTCCCAGAGACCTGCTATGCCGTTTGCAAAGCTCTTGGCCAGGAGCTGTCACTGGGCATGTCATGGAAGGACAGGATAACCCCCTCAACAACATCTGACCCCAGTCTGAAGGGTCCCCTGGGATTACTGGGTTCAGGGTCAGGCTGCTTGGGAGCGCTGAAGTCTAGAGAGGGTGTGCAGGGCTGCAGATCCCAAATGCTGCCTGGTTGTGATCATCTCGTGTGACTCCATCCACACAGACGCTGCACCTCAGGTGCCTGCCCTGGCAGGTTTTACCCCTCAGCTGCTCTTTGGTAACTGCCCCATGCCTACTTTTGCCCCCCCCCCCAGGGAGAGCTAACCCAGGGGAGTTTAGAGCTTACTGAAACAGGCCTAAATTACCCCTGTACATCTTGCACTTCCTGTAGGTGAGAGCAGGCAAGAGGATGGGTACTGTGGAGCTGAGTGGGGTTAATTGGGGCACACTGAGTAATTGCTGGCTTGGGGGCTCTGGGGCTCGTAGTTGCCATGACCCCAGTGATCTCTTGTTTGGGAGAGGCTGGAGCAGGCTGAGAATCCTCCTTGATGTGAGCTGCCACCCGGCGGGGACAGATGCTGGAGCCCTGGCTGCTCTCCCCTGCCCATGGCTGGAGAACAAGGGACACAGGCCTGGGAGGGGTCTCCTGCGCCAGTGATCCAAGTTCATCAGGGTTGCAGGGAGCCAGTGACTCCCCAAAATTGCTGCTTCCAGCCCTGGCACACAGCTACAAGGTGAGAACCAGACACAGCCTGCACTGCACACCTTATAAACAGCTGTGGCCATGAACGGCTTCATGATTGGCAGAGGGGGAAAAAAAACTCCAACTCTTTACTGATTTATGGAAATTTTTTTACAGCCAGAGAAGCATTTATTGAAGCAGGAGCCATCCTAAAAGGATACGTCACAACAGGATTGTATTATGGAGATGATGCTTTGGTTCTGTAAGTCATTTGCTTTTTCCTTTCTGTACAAATACAGACTGATCTGCATTGCAGTGAATGCCACTGAATTTTAATGACCGCATTACATGTGTGACCGGGCATGTCTGTGATCAGTAATGGTTTTCAATGCAGTTTCAAGTAGTAGAGTAGGCAATACCATAAGGCTCTTCACAAAGCTACACACTCAAGTGTGTTTTACACTGCTTTTAGGAGGCTCCACGAGCTAACAGCTCTGTGCCCGCTAACTGAGATAGATGGTAAAATGGTGGTTGGTATTAACTGTGGATCTGACGACATGTCACAGTTGATATTAGTGGAGAAATGGAGGAGAACCGTAGAGTCCACATATAGTATCTTGCACACTTACGACGGTGTAGGCCATGCTTTTATCAATAAGACCAATGGGCCAGCTCCTTGCCCCGTATACGTGACTGTGCTAGCTGTGGACACTTCACTGACAACCGTTCCTGCCACTTAACATGGGGGTGCCTGGTGGTTAGGTCTCCAGCCCTGGGCTCTGCCACTGCCTTGCGCTGTGTACTTTGGCATATCACTTTACTTCCCTGGCCCTTCTTGAGTGCCCAAAGGTTCACAAGCCTGCAGACAGTTCATCCTTGCGCTAGCTCTCCTCAGGAGGAGAAACTGTGCACCTCTCCTTCATCCAGCATAAGGCAACAAGGAACTCATCTGTTTCCCCTTTGGAGGCTCCCATCAGCTTCTTATTTTTTCTCTGCTTTCTGGGCTCAGAGGGCCTGACCCACATCCCACTGCACTCAATGGCATCCTGGATCAGGGTATCGATCCCTTTATTCCCTGGTCCCCACTGGCTTCTTCGAGTGAATTCATCCTTTCCTCTGGGTGCTGCAAAGCTGTGTCTCCAGCAGCTAGAAGCAGAGGAGCACTTTCCCAGCACGTTCCTGTCAGTGCAAACCTTTGCCCAGATCCCCTTGCCTCTGTCTTGTTGCAAGAGCCCTGAAGCTACAGATCATTTCTGTGTTCAGACTCTGCTGCTGTGATTGGGTGTCTGCTATAGGCGCCAAGTATGTGGGGGCCTGAGGGCACTGGTTGGCATCTAGGTGCTGGAAAAGCCTTGAAAATTGGGTCCTCTGCTGTCATTCCAGCAAAGCACTGTAGGCCGCAAGGTGCGCTATTTATGCAAAGGAGGCTGGGACCAGCGTTCTTTAATTTTATAGAGAGCCGTGTTTGGAACAAACGGGAGAACTGTTTGAGCTCTTTTATAAACATGGGGTTTGCAGAAGAACAATTAGTTGGCTGGTTTGTAGGCATTTGGTTTATTAAATTTATTCTTAAATTTCTGCTTTCCCCTAATGAGTGACATCACAGTAAGCATTATAAAAATACCTTCTCCTTGCCTATCCAGAGTACTTATCTTTGAGTCTGCTTACAGCTGGTGGACCAGAGAGTTGTAGTTTCTATATTGTAGGTAAGTCCAGTGTGCTGTGTTTTATGTGACGTTGGAAAGAGAGAGTGGAGTGTTGCAGCTTTTGTCTTGGTAGAGAGTGTTTAGTAGGAGTTTTGACTTGTCAGTTGTAGAGGGAACGGCTGTAGATCCCAACCTCGAACGCAGTTTGATTAGAAAGTTTGAGCCAGAGCCCACCTGCCCTCTTGCTAAGGAAAGGTAGGATATTCCTTTCCTAGGATTTCAGAGAAAAGGGCTGTATTGTGTGTTGCTCCATGAAGGCACAGAGGAAGAGAGCTGGTGAAAGCTGCAAGAAGCTGAGACGGGAGCCTCTTGACTCCCCGTGTCTTCCTGAAGACTTTCAGGGTTCGGCTCCCCCAGAGGGCTATAGCGGTGATTTGTCAACCAGTGTCGTGGCATGTTGCGAGATCCTTTAAAGGGTGCCCTGGGACACTGCGCAGTATTAGCACTCTAAGGTGTGCGAACACCTACACACAATTCACAAGACAAACCCAGGGATTTCAGCTAGGAATTCATAGAGTCAAAAGCATTCTGATCTGCTGGGAGATGTGGAAGAAAGAATTGCTTAATTTGTTTCCTTAGTAAAAAAAGGAGTGAAAACTAAGAGCCTGTTGTCCAGGGAGTGCCGTCAGTCTAACGAGGAGGGTCTTGAGTCTAAAAAGGTTGAGAACCACTGAGCTACAGGAACGGTCCTGTGAAAAAACTATTCCTCTTAGAAACAATGCCCTGCACTGGAAAGCTTGTCTAAGTCTACCCCAACCATGCAGTCGGCCCAGTCAAAGTGATCACTCACAAAACCCCGTGATTCTCGCATAAGGTCTTCACATAACTTTAAGTAGAACATGGCTAGTTGGCAATTGTTTGGATAAAGCGTCTAAGGATCCCTTCAGTTGCTAGGAAGGGCACAAACCTCCTTGAGGTTTTTCTTTGCATGTGTTTTATATTGAAACGCAAGTCTCGTGATACGTGCACTAGGTTAAGCTAGCTGCTCCCCTAGCCAGCTTCATCCCTGGGAAGCCATTTGCTCAATGCAAGCTGTCACTTCTCACCACTTAGTGGCAAGGCTCCATAATACAGGGGTGTAGGTTGTAGCTGTGTTGGTCTAAGGACATATACAAGGGCCTATAAGGATGAGGGTCTGTAATAGTACCTACTGCTGGCAGCAGGGCTGGCTGTGTCCACTGCTTACCACGGAGGTAAGTTTCATAGATGTTAGGGTCGGAAGGGACCTCAATAGATCATCGAGTCCGACCCCCTGCATAGGCAGGAA